ATGCATCATAGCGACACAAAAAAGCTTCATAACGATTCTGCAAATCATTGAAAATATTTATTGAGAGTGGCTGCACTTTTTGTGAGACTTGTTTCAAACTTGAGCAATGACGTAGCTATAGCTTTCACATGGGAGGGGTTTAGAGCAGTAATGGCTGCTCATGGTCTACGCTGGAAATGGTTTCAATTTTAGACCAGACGATGTATAGGCGACCGGGCGTAGCATAGTCAGAGCTGTTTCGAGTACTCGGCTACCGGGTACAAGTACTTAGCATAGAATGTTCTTGAGTACAGAGTACAATTACAAGTATTCAATACCCAAGTATTCAAAGTACCGTATACATTTATGAATACATTCTAATACCACCTTGCATTCCTATCCAATGATGTCATAGGTACAAGTTATTACTCAACGTCCTCCTTTAAACAGCCTTGATTTATAATGGAAATCTAATGAATCCTCATAGGCTGCAAGCGCTGAGGTAGCTGCGAACTTAGCATCGCACATGGGTTATGACGTCACCTCTCCTTTCACACTTCCGTCACATTTCCCGAAATTTACCATCAAACCGCCGGTATAGATGTTCACACATCAAAAATTGAAAAACACATTTTGGTTTACTAAATGAATTCAGCAATTTTGAAGTTTGATTTGGTTATCCAGAGTCAAGAGTTTATAAGGACTCGGTTATAAATGCACAAATTATAATGTATAATTATATATTCTGAATCAGAATTATATTATCTTTAAGATAGAATGAGATTCGATTCTCTATCTTAAATAATTCTGGAGATATTGAGGCTCAAAATCAAAACTTTGTCTCAAATTTCACAAAAGATTCAAAGCTGATTTTCTCGAAAACGAAGCCCTTGGTTTCGGAGTCTCAAATAACCTTTTTTATAGCCCTTCTGAAGAGCTACAATTATGCAAAAGATTTATGCCGATAGCTTTACTAGTTTCCAAAATATGACTCTTAATCAAATTGCCATCATGCATACCCCTTTGAAAAAATTTGAATTTTAAAATTTTTGGATTTTGCAATTTTTGACTTTACCAATCGAAAGAGGAGGTGAAACTTAGTGGAAAAGTATTAACGCAACTTTGTTTTTTGGGTTTTAGAGCTTGTAAAAAAATAAAAACGATTTTTGCAATTTGTGAGCTCAGCAAATTTCAATAATTTGACATTGTCTTACTAAACCACTCATTATTCGGTTATAACTGCACATTTTATGATGTATAATTACATATTTGGAATCAGAATTAAATTATCTTTAAGATAGAATGAGATTTCGATTCTCTATCTTAAATAATTCTGGAGATATTGAGGCTCAAAATCAAAACTTTGTCTCAAATTTCACAAAAGATTCAAAGCTGATTTTCTCGAAAACGAAGCCCTTGGTTTCGGAGTCTCAAATAACCTTTTTTATAGCCCTTCTGAAGAGCTACAATTGAGCAAAAGATTTATGCCGATAGCTTTACTAGTTTCCAAAATATGACTCTTAATCAAATTGCCATCATGCATACCCCTTTGAAAAAATTTGAATTTTAAAATTTTTGGATTTTGCAATTTTTGACTTTACCAATCGAAAGAGGAGGTGAAACTTAGTGGAAAAGCATTAACGCAACTTTGTTTTTTGGGTTTTAGAGCTTGTAAAAAAATAAAAACGATTTTTGCAATTTTTGAGCTCAGCAAATTTCAATAATTTGACATTGTCTTACTAAACCACTCATTATTCGGTTATAACTGCACATTTTATGATGTATAATTACATATTTTGAATCAGAATTAAATTATCTTCAAGATTAAATAAGATTCAATTCTTTATCTTAAATACTTTTGAAGATATTGAGACTCAAAGTCAAAACTTTGTCTCAAATTTCACAAAAGATTCAAAGCTGATTTTCTCGAAAACGAAGCCCTTGGTTTCGGAGTCTCAAATAACCTTTTTTATAGCCCTTCTGAAGAGCTACAATTGAGCAAAAGATTTATGCCGATAGCTTTACTAGTTTCCAAAATATGACTCTTTGAAATATTTGAAAATCAAATTCCCATGCATACATACCCCTTTGAAAAAATTTGAATTTTCAAATTTTTGGATTTTGCAATTTTTGACTTTACCAATCGAAAGAGGAGGTGAAACTTAGTGGAAAAGCATTAACGCAACTTTGTTTTTTGGGTTTTAGAGCTTGTAAAAAAATAAAAACTATTTTTGCAATTTTTGAGCTCAGCAAATTTCAATAATTTGACATTATCTTACTAAACCACTCATTATTCGGTTATAACTGCACATTTTATGATGTATAATTACATATTTTGAATCAGAATTAAATTATCTTCAAGATTAAATAAGATTCAATTCTTTATCTCAAATACTTTTGAAGATATTGAGACTCAAAGTCAAAACTTTGTCACAAATTTCACAAAAGATTCAAAGCTGATTTTCTCGAAAACGAAGCCCTTGGTTTCGGAGTCTCAAATAACCTTTTTTATAGCCCTTCTGAAGAGCTACAATTGAGCAAAAGATTTATGCCGATAGCTTTACTAGTTTCCAAAATATGACTCTTTGAAATATTTGAAAATCAAATTCCCCTTTGAAAAAATTTGAATTTTCAAATTTTTGGATTTTGCAATTTTTGACTTTACCAATCGAAAGAGGAGGTGAAACTTAGTGGAAAAGCATTAACGCAACTTTGTTTTTTGGGTTTTAGAGCTTGTAAAAAAATAAAAACTATTTTTGCAATTTTTGAGCTCAGAAAATTTCAATAATTTGACATTGTCTTACTAAACCACACATTATTCGGTTATAACTGCACATTTTATGATGTATAATTATATATTTTGAATCAGAATTAAATTATCTTCAAGATAAAATAAGATTAAATTCTTTATCTCAAATACTTTTGAAGATATTGAGACTCAAAATCAAAACTTTGTCTCAAATTTCACAAAAGATTCAAAGCCGATTCTCTCGAAAACGAAGCCCTTGGTTTTGGAGTCTCAAATAACCTTTTTTATAGTCCTTCTGAAGAGCTATAATTGAGCAAAAGATTTATGCCGATAGCTTCACTGGTTTCCAAAATATGGCCCTTTGAAATATTTGAAAATCAATTTCCCATGCATACACCATTGGAAAAATTTGAATTTTTAAATTTTTGGATTTTGCAATTTTTGACTTTACCAATTGAAAAAGGAGGAAAAAATTAGTGGAAAAGCATTTACGCAACTTTGTTTTTTGGGTTTTAGAGCTTGTAAAAAATAAAAATGATTTTTGCAATTTTTGAGCTCAGAAAACTTCAATATACTGACTGACATTGTCTCACAAAATCGCTTATTACTCGGTTATAACTGCAACAAAAATGATGTAAAATTATATATTCTGAATCAGATTTAAATTATCTTTAAGATAGAATAAGATTCAATTCTCTATCTTAAATACTTCTAGAGATTTTGAGGCTCAAAGTCAAAACTTTGTCTTAAATTTCACAAAAGATTTAAAGCTGATTTTCTCGAAAATGAAGCCCTTGGTCACAATGTCACAGTGCACAGAAAAGTTCAAAATGTTCGTTTGCAAATCACAACGATCAATGAAACGCATGCTAAGCATCTGATGCTAAACAAGAAATGGCTGAAAATTGGTCATATCGTAACCGTAACATAGCAGGTCTGTTCCAAAACAGCAAGAAACCGTACAATTTATCATCATGATTCTGCGCAAACTGTAAAATTTGCGCGTAGAAACCGAAATTTGTTCACTGAGTGGTTTCGAAATCGTTCATGGGACGGTTTTTGACGTGTTGGGACAGACCTAATATCAGATCTCAACTTGTCTGGAAATATACTTGTGGCCAAATAAATATGTATTTAGTTAGAGTCCGATAATTTTACTCACCAACTGCAAATGTATTCGAAAAACAATGAAAATACCCGGGTATAACAAATGTATTTAAGTAAAAACGCATGTATGCGGGTATTTTGAAAATTACTCAGTACAATAAAAAATACCGGGTACCTATTTTCTATATTCTTAAGCAGTCCAAGTACGTGATTCAGAAAGTATCTTGGCCTGAGTACCGAGTATATAACTAAAAATATACTTAGAGTACAAGTGAAGAGTACTCGTACCGTACCCGAGTACCGCACAGCTCTGAAGCCCATCAGGATATCGTCAAAGGCGAATTTTTTTTTCGGGTGCCTCGCCCAAAAATGTTTGTTTTTCTTCAATAAAAATAATTTATTTATTTCAATAGGGGGGGTTCGAACCCCCAAAGTCCCCCCTTATATACGTCCTTGAACTTGAGCTTTAATTCCTATCTAATCCGTATGACAGGAAATAGTGCTCTACTAAGAAAACTGTTTCTTAAGTTGAAAGATACATAATGACGAAGATTTTAACCTTAACTTGATGTCAACCTCATAACTAATGCCCAGTAAGCGAAATATGATAAATGCAACTTGCGTGCGCAATTACTCAGAGCTCTAGATTTCAGTACTGTTTATTTTGGCGGATACCGTAGTTTAAAGAAAGCTGCACCTAATAATGCTAGTTTCGTCTTAATAATGTTTGTGCTATTGACTTGAATGAAGATGAACTATTATTTATTTAGAATATCGATAAAACAATAAAGTTATTTTTCCTCATACATCCGGCGAAGGTGTGTTAGTGCTTCGCAGAAAAAACCTAAAGAAGAGGAAGACAAACATCCATACGTATTTGTTATATCAGCCATATATACGATGTAATATAATAATTGATTTTGTTTGACTTGAATGCTTGATCTCCACAATAATTTGTGTTAGATTAAAAGTGATTTACAATCCGTGTGATGGGCCCATCCATCATGCCTGCCATCGATAACTGAACTGCTTTATCGGTACCGGCAACCTCTTTTATCCTACCGCTATCAAATGTCTAGCGTACCACTCTAATCCCTTGGTATACATTTCCATCAGCTGCCTTTAAATTTTTTTCAGTATTAGATATGTTGACTCAAATTCTTACCTGGTGATTTGCCTTTGGATACATCGCTGGTTGTTTGAGCTAGAGTCGAAAGGTATCGATGTCCACCGGGTAAAGCTGAGCCCCAAAGAGATCGACAATAGCTTTGGAAGCCAGGAGTGGCTTGGAATTGGAGCGGCGAAGGTGAGCTCCTTTCGCTATCTGAAACAAATTTATCGACTTAAAACAATCAATTATTAATCAAAAACCGATTGCGGTATATCCCAAATATGGCATTAAAGCCGGTCGTATTTATTTCGTTTGATAACTAAAACCCCCAATAAGCTTCTTACATGGAATCTATCCGATGGAAGATTTGGCCTATCCTATTAGGATTTAGGTTTCTATTATTAATTTTTTGGGATTTTATCTCAATAATGATGAATAAACAATCCCAAAAGCTGGGAATTAGTATTCAAAAAGATTTTCTTTGCCCAAGGTTCAAGTCAACAAAAATGAGTCAATGGATGGGATTACGCTTTCGATAAATAATATGGAAAAATAACAGGAATTGCTATTATAAAAAAAAGGTCCATTAGAGAGATTTATTGTTCTATTTGTTCAAGCAATTAACGTTATTAGGGTTAAGACTGTGAACGTATCGGAAATAACAAGTTAATCACGATATTCCTGCGTTTAACGGACGATTTGGCTTTTGACTGAGAGAAATTGTTTCGAAATCAAATATAGAATTACAACTTGGTACTTATCCGAAAATAACTAGTTTCCGTTAATAAAATATCTAGGGCGTAAACAATGTCTGGAAACTTTGAATAATTTTTGAGTATGAAAGGTAAGGTAAGATATAGGGGCATTAGTATAGTGACTTGTCGCCCAAAAATAGCTTGATACTTCGGTTTTTGAGTAAAAGCATAGTATATTGTGCAACAAGTGTTGAAAATAGCACTTTTCACACGCGTGGGGAAGTTTGGTGGCACGAGCCGCAGGCGAGTGGCTCAAGCCCCACGAGTGTGAAAAGTGCGTTTCACACGCGTTACACACTATACTTTTTCTACGACTGCGAAATAACTATAACTATATTCACATTGGAATTTATTTATTTATTTTTTTGTTGAAAAATTATTATTTGAAATTATAATCAACGAACAATTTTGGTACGTACGCTGAATGCACTCAGAGTTGCTTGTAGAACAAAAATTCAATGGAAGTGTCATTTTTATTTTAGCGTGCGAAAAGTACTTTTCGCACGGTTGGAGCGTGTGGAAAGTACTTTTCGCACGCTGTGTGAAATAATCGATTTTCTAGGTAAGTTAGTAGTGCGTTTTTAATAGCTTTCTAGGCAGTCGTAGGAAAAATCCTTTTCACAAGTGAAAGAACATGTCAGAATGAGTAGATTTTTGAACACACCCATCTCAAAAAGTCATGCCGACCCCCCCTCCACCCTCCTCAAATTTGATAAGTGGATTGTTTTAGTTTTTATTATTTATCTGAAAAACGGTAAAAGATAGGATCGTCATTTTTGTGCCATTCAATACAGCACAAAATTCTGCATAATGGCTATGACCTTATTTTTGTTTATGATTTCAAGGTAAGGTCCTACAAGAACAAAAATGTGGTAGGGGTAATCACAAAGACACTTGTTGATCAATATCATTAAAACCGCTTGAAATGAGAAAAAAATAGAAGATACAAAAAATTAAGAATAAAGTTTTCTCTATCGGTTGGTGCATAACTTTTGTTTCTTATCTTTTAAAATAAAGCCACCAGTGGCGTACAAGAAAGTAGTGGAGTAAGAGGAATGATTAAAAATTAATATTTTTGGCTATGTGCAATTTAAATTTTTCAAAAAGCATTTGCATTTTGGGCCACAAGTTTTACATTTTGGTCTTGCATTTACATTTTAATAAAATGTCGGACGATATTTTTTCATTTTTCGTAGTGGTCCATAGTGGCGTCGATTTATTGTTTTCAAGAATCCATCCCCATTTAGATGGGTATGGAAGTTCTACCATGGTTGGCACAGATTACCCCAACAAATCCTGCTTGAAAAATACATCGCTTGATATGCTGTTTTAATGCAGTCATTGTTGGGGGTAAATTCTCAACGGTTCGGTTTTTTTGAGCAAAAATTGCATTCGACAAACGTCAATATCGTTGGCTTCAGAATATTTATCGTACACATAACGAATTTTGAAATAAAATTAAGTTGTTCTGATGTGAGTTATTTTGGATGCAGCACTAAACACTAAACCAATGAACAGGTGTAACCTACGCAAAAATTTCCCAAGCTTCCCAGAACTTCTTTTTTCGTTTTCCAAAAAAAGAAGAGGTGGTGTCGCAACCGGTCAATGAGTGGTAAAAAGGTAGAGCCAAACTTTTTTCATTAATTTTATTAGCAACTTCCATACAGGAAATGAACCTTAGGTTCCTACCTACGTATGGATTGAGTTTGACACTAAAAAGTCTGGCTCCCCTTTTTTTTCACTCATTGACCGATTGCGATACCACCTCTTCTTTTTTTTGGAGAAGGAAAAAAGAAGTTCTAGGAAGCTTGGGAAACCTTTGCGGAGGTTACATCCAAGGATGATACACGCTACTACTACAAGATGGGCCTATCCTTTAAGGCCTGTGTGTAACAAATCCCCTCCTTTCCCCCAAGGCCAAAATACCATTTGTGACGTAGGCAGCATCTTATTTCTCGCCTTGATGTAGACTGTTTAAATCAGGGATGTGCCGTAGACTATGAAATCTACTTTCCGCGGTTTGTCTACTCGTTGTCTACGTATTGTTTACATCCACTTTTTTCCATGTAGACTATGTAAACTATGTAGACAATGTAGACAACAGAAAATTTGAAATTTGAGTATTTTTTTGAAAGTTTGCATTGCATTAAATTTATCTTGTATCAAATTAGACATTATCTGCGGTTTAATTAACTTTACAAAGCAAAAAACAAAACAAAGCAACAACAGAAGCATAACCTTAAAGGCCTGCCAACTGTTGAAAATCGTATACTTTACGCGTTGTCTACATATTTTACACGTTGTTCACATAGATTACATAGTTTACATTGTCTACGCGTTGTTTACACCAGACGTAGACAATCTTTATTCACGCGTAGATGCCCATCCCTGGTTTAAATAGCTGATGACTTAGTTATGACGTCGGAAATGGTTTCACACCAATATGGCTGCGATTACCAAAAACCAGGCAGATAAGCACTCCTTAGAGTGTGTATTCTCCTTGGGTTACACCTAAGTTCATTGGTTTAGTGTTGCATCCAAGAGAACTTACATCGGAACAGCTCAATATTATTTCAAAATTTGTCATCATAGTGTACGAACATTCTGTTATCAACGATATTGACGTTTCTCGAATTCAACTTTTTGCTCAAAAAAACCGAACCATTGAGAATTTACCCCCAATAATGAACGCATTGAAACAACATATCAAGCATCAACCGATGTATTTTTCGAGCAGGATTTGTTGGGGTAATCTGTGCCAACCATGGTAGAACTTCCATGCCCATCTAAATGGGGATGGATTCTTGAAAACAATAAATCGACGTTACTATGGACCACTATGAAAAATTAAAATAGTAGTTTTCCTAATCAGTGCGCAAAGTTCTGTTTTCCCGCACGCGAAAGCAGTTAGACGAACGACGCGAAGCGAAGTTCGGATAAGCTTTAAGTGCGGGAAAACTACTTTGCGCACGTGTTAGGAACAATATTTTTTCTACGAGTGAAATAACTATACTTCCTTTTTAAATTTTTAATTTCTATAGGCATCAAAAACAATTTGTTGTAACTAACTAGGTATATCTAAATCGGCCAAAAAAAAAAAAAATCAGCCTCTCTCCGCGGGGCTTTGCCCCCTAAAAAAAGGGGCCCGCAGGGCTGTGCCCCCCAAAAAGGGGCTTCCGCGGGGCTCCGCCCCCCAAAAAATAGCGCACTTGCAGGGCTTCGTCCCCTAAACAGGGGCTCCCGTGGGACTCCGCCCCCAAAATATGGGGCTCTCGCAGGGCTTTGCCCCCCAAATAGGGGGTCCCCAGATTTTATTATGGGTACCAGAAAAAAAAGTGTGCGGGAAAAAAAAATTCTCGCATAGAGTGCGCAAAGTAGTTGTTGAGATTTATTTCTAATCAATCAAAAATTGACATTTCAATTAATCACAAATTAGCAACCAGATAAACTTTTTGTACTCTAGCTTTGAAATTGTTTTGTTTAATATTGTCATAACGATGAGTGGTGTTGTTCATAACAAGTTGAAAAATAGAAATATAGTCGAGTCTTTTTAAAAATACAGTCCACTGAAATTCATTAATTTCTAATACGCAAATTCTGCAAGCGCTGCAAGAAGCTTGATCCAGAAAAGCGGTATTGGTAATAAGATTCATATTATCAATATATTCAGTAGTTACTTTGCGCACACTTTTGGGAAAGGGCTTCCTTGCGAACACAAAAGTGTGCGCAAAGTAGTTACTTTCCTCGGTATAGAATTAAAATTGGAATATTGTCTTTGGAACGCACTTGAAATTCCATGCTCCACTTATTGAACTCTTTCTGCAAGTAGGTAAACATAAAAATTATGCACTGAGACACTTTTCATATGATTATGATTATTTTAACTTTTTAGAAGTTGCTGTGCTCAAGGGCGCCCACAGGGAGGGTCAGGGGGGGGGTCGCCCCCCTGGAAATTTCTTAAAATAAAAATAATTTCTATATATATTATATATTGTAGGTCCGATGATGCTCGTATGAGCGAAACGGGCATACTTGCATTCGGCCACAAACCAGGTAGCTGCAGTAATCCTACCTTTGAATTCGACCAAATCATGAAACCCAACCTACTTCCCATGAAACTTACCTTATGATGTTGACAGATTTCGCATTGCATATGAGTTAATAAATCTAAAAAAGTGTAAATATGTATTTTGATGCGCAAAATAAAAAGATGACTATGGAAAGATTCGCAGGCATTTATTTTCTTATCCAGGTCTATCGAGGCATGTGCCATGTGTCGATGAGATAATCTGAAAATTTAACTAGAACTTCGTGATTCGGCTGAATAGCTAACAACTCGAAAACAAAGAAATCGCTAACTTCTTGATTCTCCAAAAACATCATTCCGAAACAATTATGTAACGATTTACCGATTTCTGAATCTTTTTTTTTATATTCAATGCTTAAGCCTAAGTTTTG